GTTACAGGTCAATGAGGGACATCTTGGGATTCCTTCTCCAGCCTATTCTGGAAGATCGCAGCTCATTCAAGCCTGGATTGACCCTCAACCACCTTTTTTCTGTTGAGAACCATGAGCTCAGACTTGGAACCACTCCAGTGGGCATTGAAAGTCACAGCTTGAAGATTACAACAAAACATACGTTATTTGAAAAAGAAACAAAAATGAAATCCTGATGTTCCCAAAGCTGAGACCAGTTCCTACGTGACTACACCTTAATGATCTTATGCAAGACCACCACAAACAGGATTGTTACAAGGGTCAGCCCAAGTGGAACCCAACACCACACCCACACCCACAACAAGAACAACTTTTTACTGAGAGCGCAGACACAGCTCCTGTTGTGCATAGGTGCTAAACTCCAGGTTTTGAGAGCCAGTGTCCTGCAACTTTTAGATGTGCCTCTGCTGCAACACACCTGAATCAAATAATTAAGCCATCAGGACTCTGAAGAACTTGTCTACATTGGTAAATTTGATCATGGTGTATTGAACTAGTGGCACATCAAAAAAAAAAAAAACAAAAAAAAACATGCAATACAGTGGCCATTGAAGACTGGAGTTTGACAACCCAGCCTTATTGCATCTTGAGCCTCCAATCACACCACTGACAAAAAACCCCAAAAAACTCTTACACAGGTATGATCACAAACCTTTTGCAAATTTGCAAAACCCATGTAAATTGAACAACTCCTCTGAGCATCTCAGCAACTCCCCAGAGGTATAGAGCTGGTCCACCATCGCTTTAAAGCATGGTCCCTTGATAGTTGGGACTATCAAGGGACCATGAATCAAAAAGTTTCCCGTCTGCGTAAAGAGCCTGTGTAAATCTGTAAATCAACTTTCAACTCAAACCTCAAGTAATAACAAAAATGGACAGAACGCTGCGTCCAATATATGTCTGCGCATTTAACATTGAACACTATGTGTTTTGGGTCAATGTAGCCAACAGGGACTGGTCATTTAGTTTTTATAGTATTTTGTAGTTATTGTAATTTTGTACCTGATGTTTTCAGTTGGTGTACCTTTCTCTCCCAGAATGTGGTGTAGCAATTATGTTTATAAGTTCATAAAAACCAAGACAAGTGATCATTTAAAGTAACTTTTAATAGAGTGATTAAAGTTTAGTGCAGGCCGATACGGCTATGCAACTTCAGTATGTAACATTTACTGACAGAAGGTTGCGCGGTTATTTTGGTTTGATGAGGCATACTATGGCATACTTTGTTAGGGTCAACTGGGCAGTAGAGGAATTACAACCAATATACATGGAATCAGGCTGTAATACAAACTCTCCACACAATAACACATAACAAAATGTAATTATATGCAAACATTTTCTGACTTATCTCCACAATTCACAAAAACACTCAACTAAAACAAAATATGGTGCTTCCTCTAGCGCACTAAAATGAGTTTAAACCATAGCATCATAGATAATTTTAGCTGTTTTATTTTATTCCAATAAAATTTAATTAAAAAAACAATATACCTTGATACAGGTAACTGGCCCGTGCCTATTCTTTACCTAACCCTGTACTCTGGGTGTGGATATGCTTCGAGGAAAATGGCCATTGAAATAATGAGACGCAATGATGACAAACTTGTTATACTGCGTATGATGTCCTGTTTGCCTGTGTAGTTGGAGCTCCCGAAAACAATTCAAACTGACGACATTAAAATACTGAGACAGTAACATTCCGGTTTTGGAAGATAGAAAGATCAAGGGAAAGTCTCCTCATACATTTCTGGCACTTAAAGAGTCTTCTCTTATGTCACTACTATTATTGGGCAATGGGGAGACATCGGCGTCACTTAGTGCGCATGCCCAGAACAAAGATTACTCCGAAAAGCCCAACAGAGGGAAATAAACTCGAGTGATAAACAACTAATTGACTTGATAGGAGGTGAATGCATCTCTTGGATGCTTGGTTTCGTCTTATGTCGGAATTTGCAGCTTCTCTTAATCGTTAAAATACACCGAACAAGCTATAAATTAAGGAAAACGAGTTGGTGCTATTGTCAGCTGTAGAGTCAACACACGTGCAACTCCATTCACTCATATTTGGAAACATTTTTCACTGAAATTATAGGAAAATGAAAGATTGACACTTATTTTATCTTAAACGTGCAACAATGGCGAGGAGTTTGAAAAAGCAACAGAGAAATGTAATATCTCACTGTGGTTGTTGTGGCCAGCTAATTTAAATATGTGTGCATTTAAACGCTGTATTCACACTCAGCAGGCCCGTTTCCTTCCTAAAATATAGCCCACACAGACGCAAAGCACACACGAGCCGCTAACCGCGACTGAAATCCCACCGAAAGCACAAATCCACATGGCCAGCGGGGTTTTCTAACGTTAAACAAAATGTACTTACCAACGAAATAAGACACCGCAAGCGGAGAAATGTGCCACCGTTCTCTATCCGCCTCCTACTTCTCCACGCCTGTCTGTCTTCTGCGTGTATTTTCCCCAGAACAGCGTCTACGTGGGCTGCGTCGAAAATGTCAAGATTCCAGCAGTGGCTGACGGTTCTGTCGCTCCAATTCGACCCGGGTTGATTACCCTCTCGACTCGGCCAAATCATGCGACCATGGTGCCCTGAATGTCGCCTGCTGCTACTGGTCTCATCCGGGCGTTTGCGGGAGGAGGAGGGGGAAGAGCCGTCCGTCCGTTTCTGCGCTACTCTGGATGTCAGATTTGAGATGAAGGAGGGCGGAGAGGGAGTCAGTCTGGTCATTGCATGGTGAGATGAAATATTTTAATATCTGCAAGACATAGGTTTTAAAAAATGTTGAATAGATCAACATTTTCCCTGAATGCACATTTTATTACCACCTGAAGACATATTAATCTCTAATAGATTTCTACTAACACTGCTGTAAATCAGTGATGGATCCATGTGAATACCATTCACTGTGTTTATTTTTTTTTGCACTGTGAGGTCATTTTGTTCCAATGTACCCACGCTTGTACTCTGGCTTATTTTTTTCTTGAATTATGGAAGACAGCAGCAGATAAAGATCCACTTCTGGAGACTTTGAAGGAAATTAAAGCATCAACTTACCTTTTTACAGATGGATGTTTCTGTATGGCTGTCCAGACCATGCGTCCGTCCCAGACGGACCTTTCATGCACTTTGATCAAGACATTAATGTTTTGGTCATCCTCCTCTTTCTCACCGAATATACTTCAATCTTCTCAGTCAGGGGGACGTTTTTTTTAGCCTCCCCTTTAACAACAAATGTATTTCATCGTACTTCTGACTGCTTTTTCTCATATATATATATATATATATATATATATATATATATATGTGTGTGTGTGTGTGCATATACACGTATATATTTGCAAATGCTATCACCTCTGCTCGTATCAGAGTGTGCTGTTTGCCGGTCTGCAGGACATAAAATAAAGGACACCGCTGAACACACCCCAATAAAGGTATTGGTTGTAACAAAACAATTAAAGGACTATAGTCTGTTACTCTACTTTGACAACCATAACATAATGCTAAATGAAATGTTTAAATCCAATCTGTTATTGTATGTTTTTTCCTCTCTTTCCATACAGGTTTCACAACCGTTTGAGCTGTTTGGAATGGACCTAAAAGGGAGACTGAAAGCCACAGAAAGTGGAAATCAATACATCTGTGTGATGACCGACTATTACACCAAATGGACACAGGCATACCTGATTACCTCAAAAACAGGAGAAGAGGTCACAAAACAAATACTTAAATTTCTCTTTCAATTTGAGGCACCAAAAAGAATTCTAACAGACCAAGGCACAGAGTTTGTGAATTCGGTAAAGTTTTATTCCATCAACATTTCTGTTTTTCAAATATGACATGCAGTTCTTTGAGTTATGCTTTTTTTATGGTTGTGACAGACAAAGAACATCTGTGAAAAACTTGGGATTAAAACGAGTCTCTGCGCACCCTACCATCCACAGACAAACGGTTTGGAAGAAAGAATGAACGGCACTATCCAATGGTAACAGATACTCATCTACAATTAGAGTCCCAATTTCACAAGTTAAATCATATTATAATGCCAATATTAAACTGCTTCTTTTCAGATCTCTGTACAAACTTTTGGGGTCCAAACCATACACTTAGGACGAGTATCTGGACACAGTAATATTTGGACTTAGGACAAAAAAACAAATGACCACAAAGTTTTCATCTTTCTTTTTAATGTTTGGAAGGGAAGCTCGGTATCCATTTGAGATCCCTGAGAAATATGAGGTTTTAAACATTAAAAAGTGAAGTTTCAATTGTATTGTAATCACATATCAATTCCATTGATGTGTGTTACAGAACAACAGTCCCCACAGTTTATGGAGGAAGAGACTGTGACTGAATGCAAAGCATCTGGATGCCATAAAAGATCTCATCAAGGAAAATGTGACCAGATCACAAACCTTGACAGAGAAAAGTTTGCACTCAGCTAGCAGAAAGTGTGAAACAGTTGGTGTTGACAAAATGTAAGTCAACAAAGAAAAGGGGGTAAGTTGGAGTCCAACTTTCTTGGACCATTGATCAGCATTCAGCCCTCCAGGGAAAGAATGCTGACCTTATTGCAGACAATGGAGCACTGTATAAAAACATCAACATCAATCACCTAAAACACTTTAAACTACAAAAGCCACAAATTCCACACAAGATAACAATACCAAAAACAGGAGCCCAGACATCAGCTCCTCCAGCCCTTCCAACCACCTCAGCTCCTACAGTCTCTCAAGCCGCCTCGGCTCCACTCCCTACAGCCACCTCGGCTCCATTCCTTAAAACCGCCTCGGCTCCATTCCTTCCAACTGCCTCGGCTTATACAGTCCCTCCAGCCGCCTCAGTTCCTACAGTTCTTCCTACCGCATCGGCTCCTACAGTCCCTCCAGCCAACTCGGCTCCGACAGTTGCATCCAACCACCTCGGCTCCAGTCCTTCCAATCGATTCAGCTCCTACAGTCCCTTCAACCACCTCGGCTCCTACAGTCCCTTCAACCACCTCGGCTCCTACAGTCCCTTCAACCACCTCGGCTCCTACAGTCCCTTCAACCACCTCGGCTCCTACAACCCCTACAACCACCTTATCTGACACGATTTCAACAGGTATTATGTCATGTAGAAATTACGTTGACCTTGCATAATCTATTGCTGGGTTTCAGACACGTCACCCAGATGACGCGCAAAATTCAGATGGAGGGCCGGAAGTGGATTTCTCCGGTTCAAAACAAAGCCAAATTTATCACAACAAGTACGCCAATTCCCTAAATAGACTGGAACAGATGAGGCATCTGGAAAAAATATGATCCGTATTATCTCGGTAAAAAAGACTTCTCTTATAATCTTGAGGATTTATCCGGTGTCTAGGCAATTCACATGACTACCTGGAGCCGCAGACCTCATATTATACCACGAGTCAGAAGAAAGTTTTCAAAAGCCTGGAGAATACAATCATTTAGTTTCCAATTGGGTCAAGTCTTTAGAATAAAAAAAAGCTTTAGATGGCTATGGACTTGTTTCTGCCAGGTGAGTAGTGAATTGTGCTATTTTAAGTAATTAGTCTATGATAACAATGCTATTGCTAACAACGAACTAACCTATGTTATTTCTATGTGCTTGGATCTCCTGGTAAATCATTTATTTAGCTAATGCTGGAGTTGTATATTAATGTTGAATCATTGTAGGACGCTGGATTCAGGTTTAATGTAGGTCAACTATTAACACGATCTACAGATGTACATGTAGATATGTTCGTGTCTGGACACGAATATACTTGGTGGCCAGACACGAAGCATGTGGGGGAATAGTCACAGCTCATGGTGACTGTATGGCTGGGTAGGGTAGGTTATATTTAATTTATTTAACTTTTTTTTCTTTTTTTTTAGCATGAAAGTCCTACTGAATAAACATATTTTCTGTCCGTGACTTGGCACTGAACTAGCTGCTAACAACATTAGGACTATGAGGACAACCACGCTAGGGCGTAAAAATAGTACATCTTATCTCACATATGAATGCTTGTCTTTCTAAGTAACTGTCCAAAAAGACATCTGAAAATACAATTTAAATGATGCAATCTTACATGTTAGAAGGTGAGAGCTGCAAACTCTGGTGTTAGTTTCCGCACCTCCTGTTTCTAGCTGTAGATTGTTGATCTACTTTTTTCCTATTTTTTGAAATGAACTCCTTTGTGACCAACTACCTTAAAAATACGAAAATAACGTTTATCTTTCTCTCTATTAGAACCGTTGGAACAACCGCACAGAACACAGAGTTTAAACATTTTAATGCTGGATCAACAGAAATAAATGGGCTGCATTTACTTCCGGCCCTCCATCTGCATTGGGTGATGTCGATGCTACGTCATCTGAAGCCCAGCAATTCAGAGGTAGAATGTGTGTTTTGATATTTTCAAACTTTTAGATAAAATGTGTAATTATGAAATGTCTACATTGGCATAATATTTTAAATGTACTTCTGTATTTATGTCTAACTTTTTTTTTTTCTATGAAATATTTCTTAGTTTTAAACAAGGTATGGAGATGAACACATAAAGGCACCCATGTCCTCCTGTCAAAGATAGGACCATACAAATTACTTTGCTGGGACTTTGCCAGAATTTGTCCTGGACAAAAGCTGGAGAGTGAGGTACCTTAATTTCAATAAAACTTAAGACGATGGATGGATGAATGGATGGATAGATGGAGCTATGCATTAAACTTGTTCTTTTAAAACATGAATCTTTCTTTTCAGTTTATTAATGCCTACCTTCATCTCATGGTCAACAACTTTAATTGGAATCAACAGCAACAAGCCACGCTAATTGACAGCTTTGAAATGTCACGGGTTTGGCTCAAAAAAAGTTCCAGGTTAAAGGTTTGTGTGGAAGGCTTTTTAAAATTTAAATGACATCTGATGACATCCGTTTGTGGTTTATAAAGTGTTGTAATTATTTTTCTACTTGTCTTTTTTTTTCTTAGATTGATCCAGAAAAATTCAAAGTAATTGTGGGGATTGTTAAAGTCACCATTGGAGGCAGTAAGGTGAGTAAAACAAGAAAAAATGTTTTATTATCAAAAATGCAATAATTGGTTCAGTAGAATGTTAATTTAACATTTTATCCTCTCACCAAGCACATTTATGAGAAGCAAAGGGATGAAAGTATCAAGGTGGAAATGTGAAACAGTCCAACATGCCATCCAGCAAGATGATGTTTCATGTGGTGTGTTTGCTCTTAATGTGCTGTTAACAAAAATGTGTACTTGACTAGGACTACTTATATTTTCTATGTACTGTCAATTTATATAACCTTAATGTCTACTGTGCTCTCTCTTTCCACATACATCTTTATCTTTAGATAGATAGCTTTATCTATGTCATGATTTGTCGTTTTGGTGATGATAAGGATGGACACGGTGGACCCAGGTTGCAGAGTAAATGATGGTTTTAATGGTGATAAAAAAGGGCACAAAAAGTCCAGGCAGCACAGATGAGCATTTAGGCAAGGAACTCACACTGGTAGCAACTGGAACAGAACTAGTCAACGACAGACACGACCAGGATCCAACAAGGAGCAGAGAACACAGGTGGGATTAAATACACAAGGGATAATCAGGGAACAAGAGACACAGCTGGGAGCAATCAAGGGCAGCCGAGACAACACAGGAACTAAATTGACACACAGAAAACCAAATCCTCACAATCTACCAAGATATTGAATACGTTACTTTATGTCCTCTTTTTGATGTAAACATAAATATCAATATGAAAGTGGTGGCCAACTAATCACATTGCCATTAATCTGATGCTATTTTGCATGAGTAGAACTTTTAAGATAATGAACAGTTCTGGCTAACTTAAACTGTAATATAAAATTTTCTACATAATGGACCTCTGGTTTGTCATGCGTTAAGCTATTAGGGTGTAGCTTAACACATGAAAGAAAAGAAAAAGCGGGGAATTGCTGGCTTGCATGCTGGAGTTGTATGGTAACGTTGAGTTGTAGAACGCTGGATTCAGGTCCAATTTGGGTCAACTATTCCCTGTGATCTACAGAAACCCCATGTTTGTGTCTGGACACAAATAATGCCCAGGCACGAACCATGTGGGGAATAGTCACAGCTCACTTGACTGACCGACTGTATGGCTGGGTAAGTTAAATTTAATTTAGTCAGCTTTTTTTTTTCTTTCGCATCAAAGTCCTGCTGGATAAACATATTTTCTGTCCGGGACTCAGCACTGAGCTAGATGCTAACAAAGTTAGCACTCTGGGGACTACCACGCCAGGGAGTAAAAATAAAATATCTTACCTTACATTTAATGGTTGTCCTTCTAAGTAACTGTCCAATAAAATATCTGAAATACAATTTAAACAATGCGATCGTTCCTGTGAGAAAGTGGCGCTACAAACTCTGGCATTGTTAGCTTTTGCACCTTGTGTTTTTAGCCGTAGATTGTTGATCCATTTTTCTCGTCTTTTTATCGGTAAGTTTTTAAAATCAACTCCCTTGTGACTACCTTGTGTTTCGAACTACCTTCGAAACATAAAAATAACGTTTACCTTTCTCTCTATTATAGAACGGTTAGAACAACTGTAGGCATTTTGATCAACAGAAGTAAACGGGCTGCATTTACTTCCTGACTTCGATGCTACGTCATCTGAAGCCCAGCAATAGCAAACCATTAGCCATATTCATCAGAAACTGTTCGACTCGTATGTCTCAATAAAGGTGTCAAAACCGTATCTATTTCAATTCATCTCCGAAATAAAACCCGCCGTTTTAGGGCTTTCATGGTTAAGAAACATAATAATGTTACAAAAGTTGTCTCTTCGGTCATATTTTCTCATCAATCTACGAGAGTTTTTAGAACAATGCGCGTTCCCGCGACTGGGCATGTAATTCTCGGCAGGCATGCGTTTCTCGGCACAACACCAGGATCTAATAATACTGGTAGAGGCTACCAGTGTTTAAGGCGTAAATGTTTTGTAACCGTCCGCGCCAGTCAACAACAGTGGGTGGGAGCGAAGAAGGAGGGGTGCGTTTTAGGGCAATTAAATGAGCTTAAACTTCAACAAGATTTCTCCGTTTAATCAAAATGCCTAATAACCGAAACAGAAAACAAACAGTAATCCATTTGTGCCAATTCTTGTTTGAATTTTCTCTTCCAAGGAGGATTGTAAAACCCTTTATAAGATCACGTTAGCACAATTAAGTCTGACCTGAAACAGATTTTCTCCTTTCACTTATTGAAACTTGTTGAGGCATGACTGCACCAGTAAATTACTGTTAAAGACCAGAACAACTTAATACAGTTTGTTCAGGTACACACATTAAAGCCATATTTTTTTAAGTCACAGCTATAAGACATTAAGTTGAATTTCTTAATATTGTGAAATCTTCTAACTGTAGAATATACAATAGTATTCAACAGAGTCTATACCCAGCTTAATTGACATCTGCAAGCAAAACCAGATGTTTAGTTAACTCTTCTACTTTGCTGCTAAAATATTTAAAAAATCAGATGCGTTTAGACATGATTAATTGTTGCTGAATATTCTGGCTTTGTGGAACTTTTTCTCAGATCAAAATGAGGAAAAACATACAAAAATTAAAGGGTAAATACCTATACAGATCTAATTATGAAAATGTTTCAGCAGGTAAGGCTGCTGAAACAGATTGAGAGAAGGATTTCTCTCAATCCTTCTGAGGTCCAGATCACTATTGTAATATTTACAGCGGAGTTTGTTTGATACTGGAAAATCAAAAGTAATTTTGAGGTTTGTGCATGTGTTTTGAGTTATGTAACCAGCATATAGATTTGCCTACCAAACATGTATGTACTAAAATCTGCAAATTGGTTTCTATGTATATGTATTCATGTCCAGGCAGGCCTGGTCTGGGTGTGGTGTTTACCAAGATTTCTAGCACCACTCCTACCACTCAAACAAACCTTTACTCTAAATGTGTCATGTGTTCCACAGTCTTTAAAATCAATAACTTGTTTTCAACCAGAACTAAGTGATATGATCTTCTAAAAACAAACAAGACTCAAAATCTTGTCCATTTATCTTTTTTTTTTTTTTTTGTTGTTGTTGCAAAGCCTGGCACTTAAATACATTAGAAACCTCTGGTGTCTAATATTGAGACACCAACAGTTTTTACAAAATTCTTTGTTCTTTCTTCTTTTTTTTTTCTTTTACTTTTTAACAATAGCGTGCTGCATTATGCACACATCTGTGAGACTGGTTGTTAAACTTAAAACAGTTAGAGCTGAGTAACTGGTACATGTTAGTTTACAAGCTTGCACTGAACATATAGGGAGCAGCACAACAACATTAAAACTTAACAGCGACACGTTATTGCATATGTGCTGGAAAATATTGGCTAATGTTTGCATGACCTCTAGAATGGATGTAATGAGGTAGGCAGGGTTTATGTTAATGTTTATAGGAAAATAAGAATAGAATCATGTTTTCATGTCAACATTTGCACATATTTAATGTATGAATCTGAAAGTTAAAGTATCTGTGATTTGAGCTACAAGAAAGTGTTGTGATGGTGTAAAGATTTACTTCCAAAGATAAATACATAAAATCATACCAGAGTTTTCACCAATAATGACTATCTTACTCCTAAAAGTCACCAATTTTCTATAATTGTAAATCCATGTGAATTTGCTGTAAAGTATGACTGATAACTGATCATTCCTTTTTCTTTTTTACAATCATATCTTAATTTTTATTCTCATACAAATTATTCATCTTCATAAATATTTTCAAAAACTTTTGTACTTTAGTGTAAATGGTATTTTTATACTTCAATTGAAAAAAAAACTGTGGATTTCTTTAATCAGTTTTAAGTAACTATTTGGTTCATATTTCACATCAAAAATATCTTGAATCGTAGAAAGAACAGACGTATGCCTTTTCTGCTCCCAAATTATCAGGTGTGACACAATTATTATTTTTTATTTACACCATTTCATTTGTTTTGTTTATTCTGTTTTTACATATAATGTATTCTATTTTTGTGAGTCTATTTTCTTTGATTTCCTGTCACTTTTGCACATACATTTCATGATTCTGAGACAATAAAGAATATTGCTATTCTATCCTTACTAAAACAAACATTTGCTGCCATCTTGTGGCAAATTAGTGTAGCACCCTTATTTGAGTATCCAATTAATCTGGAGAATCATGTACAAACTACAGGCTAATTTAAAAATACAACTATCTAAAGGTGCAACAAGGACTAAATGCCTCCAATTACACCAGTTTGACATAATACATTTTATGTATTGGTGCTTCATTTAGAAAATACTCTAATGTTGTGCTCCCAATATTAAGGTTTGATTAGGAAACACACTTTTGACTATAAAAAAACAAACTACCATTCTAGAATGTCCTCTGGGAATTATTTTTATTTCAATGGTTTAAAATAAAAACATTGCAATCACAATTGAAGCAAGAGATACAACTGTGATTGAGACTTTAAAAAAGACTAAAGCTGAATAGTTTTTTGTTCACACTTGGTCTAAGTGTTTCTATTGTTTTTCTACTTTTTGTCTTCACTACTATTTCACATTCAAACCATATTTAGGGTTACATGTATATGGTTGCTTCAAGCAATATGATCTCGCAGGAAGAAATTATTGTCAGTATTTTTTTTCATTACTGAAATATACTTTTTTGTTTGCTCTGCCTTCAAAACAGATTTTTATGTTAGATTATATTTGATAACTGTTATACCTTTCTACATAAATGTTTATTTAGTGGTTAAACATCAAAACTCCTCTTCTTACTAAAAATCAAAAACATACTCTATGTAGAACATAATGATTCAAATAGAACCTATATTATATTACCCATCCCCTTTTGTGCACGCACGTACACACGCACGACGTACACACGCACAAATATGGCGGCTTCTATTTCACCTCTACGCTCCTCCTTCAGGATTTGCTCACCGTTAACTGCACACTTTCACTGTTGCCGTGCCAAACTGCGGATGCACAGAAAGTACGAGAGTCAAAGGAGGCATCTGTACCACTCTGCGAGAAGGTAAACGCTGTCACACTGAAAGTAGTGCCATGTTTTGTTGAAATAAATGGAAGGGATGGAGAGCGGCGTTTCGGCACCGGTGGAAGCAATGCGAGTACGTCAGATGTGAGAGGAAGGATTGTAACTGACGGCAGTGCTCACTGTAACCGGTAGAGGGCGCAAGGTAAATGGGCGTTAAACGGCATGTGGGAAAAAAACAAAACAAACTTACTTAGAAACGAGTGTTTACTAATCATGTTCACGCTCACTATTCCATTTTTATCGGTTACTCAGTGACATTGCCGAAGGACAGATAAAGCGTTTGTATCCTGCACTGATTAGTTACTTTACGTTTAAATCCCACCCATATATATCCATATCCATGGAAAATGACTAAGATCAGTTTACACTTTCATAGTCAGTTAGTAGGAATTGTTTCAATCTTCAGAGTCTTTTCTCTCAAAAAAGAAAAATATGTATTCTAAATATGCATATATATTTTTTTAGAACACAGTTTTATTCCAGTTGCTTCTCAAAAAATAAATTCTTTCTTTTCTTTACTACAAACTTCTCCAGGCACAGTGCTGTGGTGATTTCAGGAACAGAGTTGGCCCGTCAGATTCACAGAGAAATCCAGCGTGATGTGGAAGAGCTAGTCGCTCATGGCAACATGAGACCCCATCTTGGCGTCATCTTAGTCGGAGATGACCCAGCCAGTCATACCTATGTTAAGAACAAGACCCGGGCAGCCACCATCCTGGGTCAGATATGAGCAGTGTGTGTCTTTCTCAACACTTTCCTCAGTGTGTACGGTGCAGTCATGCACATGCATCTCATTAAGTTTGAATACACTATTTCTGTAATTCAGTTCAAATACCGATAGTGAATATTATGCAGGATCTTTACATACAGAATATGTTTAATTTTTCTTTATAATGTTAAAATAATAAACAAGACCAATAGAGAAGGGATATGTGTCTCACAAATGTCATATAATGATTATGTTACTGGCTACACATCATGCATCAACCACAGAAGATCATTGTGAAAGAATCTGGTGAGTCCAAACATAGTCTTCAAAAATTTAGTTGAAAGAAAGAAAAAAAAAAACATCCAAGAGTTTGTCAGAGATTCACAGTTTGTGGAATGTGCCAGGAGTTGGTGCTTCTGTCCCATTTCTTGTGACAGCCCATAAGAAGTGTCTTACCTGGGCTCAAAAAGTACCTATTTGGAGGTTTAAATAAATCTCTACATCACCAGATATTGTGGGCTTGTACTGCAGTACATGGACAAATAAAAAAAACAAAAACAGAACAAACAAAAACAAAACGAATTCTTGAAATATTTGGGCTTTGATTTGTTGCGATCTAGTATCATTAAAGAAACAGAAATTAATATTTCATGTGTATTGCTATGTTCTTGAATCTCTGTAATATTTGAGTTTCCCTCTTAGAATCTAATTGCTGAATCAAAGTAACTTTTCAATGCTCTTTTGAGATGCATGTGTACGTCAGCCTTATGTGAACATACAAATTAAGAAAAACTAAGAAGTTAGTTTTTCTTTGTTTTGCAAACATATTTTAGAATAATGTATAAATTTCAGATCATAAAAACAGGACTACTGCATTTAAAAATACATTGATTATTGCTCATAGTGTTGTATTTGACAATCTCCAGGTATTTCCAGTGACACAGTGGTTCGGCCCAGCTCGGTTTCCCAGGAGGAGTTGCTGGAGCTGATTGATGAGATGAACCGTGACTGGAGGGTCAGCGGTCTCCTGGTGCAGCTGCCACTTCCAGGTAAGCAAACAGAACCCTTTGGAGATTTAGTTACCCATGTTAAGAGGTGAGCACTATAGTGCAAACTATATATATATGTATAGTTACATATATGTGAAAAGAGCAATTAAAAGCTTTAACTGTGTTGCAGCTTGTGTTGAAAGATTAACATGTCCATGTTAATTCTTCTTCTTCTTCTTCTTATTATTATTATTATGTTTTTATTTATGTTTAAATTACTGTTGCGTACATAATTTTTGTATCAGTTTTACATCACTTGTGGCTATATTTGTATTTACTAATATTTAACACCTTGGATGGAGTAGCTTGTCAACATATAAGCAATTTTCCTTTGGGGATCAATAAAGTATATTCTGTTCTAATAAAAAAAAAAATGCTTTAACACTCCTTTTGGACTTATTTGATCACTTTAGATCAAATAAAGTGATAACTAGCATGTTTACATTTAAGCAACACCCCATCTTTTGTTGCTTTTTATACTGTTGCAATTAACTTGCAATTTAATTTTACCTTTATCAGACACATAGGTCGGTTTAGTAATAGTTAAGTAAATTAATGAATGAAAAGCATGTTTTTTTTTTAAAAAAAAGTAGCACAAACTAATAATAATAATGAATAAGTATTTAGGTTTAATGTAATCATATGTATTTTGTTTCACTCTGTTCTTCAGAGCACATCAACGAGCGAGCTGTGTGTAATGCAATCGCTCCAGAGAAGGATGTTGACGGTTTCCATATTGTGAACATTGGAAAGTTGTGCCTGGACCAGAGATCGATGGTACCTGCGACGCCTGCAGCGGTCTGGGAGATGATCAAAAGAGCAGGTAAACCGGAACGGTTCTAAATCTCACACGTCTTTTTCATTTTGTTTACTTGTACTTGTTCTGAACAAATGATCCTCTAGAGGGCAGTAAAGATCTACTAGTTCTCATGGTAATATAACCATTCCTTGCTGCTAGTGCTGCTAGTAACCATAACATGTGCTGTAAACTCTTCATAATTATGATCATGTTTGATCCTTTCATAAATGGATGTTTGTTTGTTTTTAGTTTCTTCTTGTGTTGAGTTTAATAAATACTGTGTCAGTTTTATTCTGTGTTATAGTCTCTCCAATATGCACGTCATAGTACGGATGTGCCATATTAGAATTGGCACAGTAATAGCCAGACAACCATGTCACCTAGTTTATCTTTTAGATCATTTATTTAAAGAAAAATGGCTTGATCAGTTGGAAAAAAAATAAAACATCATGTGTGATCACAGTATTAGAGTCACTTTTTTTCATTAACTTAATTATAGCCCTTCAATTGAAATAAATAAATGAAATGGTGGAATTTTTTCTTGCACCAACAACAAACTCAGAAAGAATGTTTGGTGGTTGTGCCCATAAAAAGCAAAACCTCCAGTCAAACTTGGCTGTTGACCAGTAAAGTTCAGTTCAGGTAACTGTTGCTTCACAGAGTGTCACTGATGGGAGGTGAAAAGCATTGCGTAAAATGCAGGTTTCTATCTGCTGCAAGAAATTGGCGGTAAAAATATAAATGAAGGGAAAGAAAAAAAACTTTAAAGGTATGAAAGAATTTCTTGATGTTTTTATTGTACATTTTGGAATGGCAACTTATGAGAATAAAGAAATTAGACATTCATTTTATAAACAATCAGTGTTATTATTTTTGAGATGTTCTTTTATCTAGAGCTCTGCCAACCTAATTTATGATGTGTTGATTAAGAGCAACAAATTTCTAGTGTGATCAGCACTTTTAATTGACATAAATTGTATGGATTTAAGGTTTACCCTTTTGTTCTTCAAATAACTGAGTCCCTTGGCTTCAATCTGCAGCTGTTTGCTTGTGGCAGAAGTTACAAAAGCAAAAAAAAAAAAAAAATCTCCATCTAACCTCTGAACCCTAAGGTTTTTTTTGGCTTTCTTGTGGAGTCTAATGCTACATCATTTTAACATCAAACAAAGCTACACTGTTTGTATTATAGTATTCAACCTAAATACAATGTTTCGAAAAGGACAAAGTTACACGAAACTTGTTTGTGCAACCCTCCAGTTCAAAAGGCAACCTGACATAAAAATTTGCAACAAAATATCGGTGTATCTTTAAGATCAGGATGATTTTTAAGAAAAAATGTTGCTTTCTTTCCTGGGAATGTGTTTACGCAGGAATTGAGACAGTGGGAAAGAATGTCTTGGTTGCTGGTCGCTCCAAAAATGTTGGAATGCCTATTGCTATGTTGCTGCATACAGATCGCAACCATGAACGCCCTGGAGGTAAGCTAAGTGATTTGCGTTTATTCTTTTATCTGTACCACCAATCTGAGTTGGTCAGTCCAATAATATGACAAACATCTTCATAGAAAATTCAAGTTGCACCATCCTGGTTTTCCCTAAAGGATATTTGATGTTTTAAGCTTCTGTCAGGATATGAATGTACACTTCAATGACTCCCTGCCTTTTTTTTTTGTCAAAAAGAAAAAAAAAATGCTGATGCGTCTCCTGCTGGATACAAAGAAGGGAGTGTGAAAGCCTTAATCAGGGCAAAACATTTGGTTCCGTGCACCACTGGGAAACGGATCCAGTCCTTATATGGGTGCAGGAAGGAAGAAACGGATTTCAAAAGGTGTTGTCTGCATTAAGCAACAAGATTTACTTTAACTGTCAAAGTTCAGCAATATGACACGATAAAGAGACTCAAGGTGCAATACACATGCCAAGCAGTATAATAAAAGACTGCAGTAAGCTGTGGTTTCTGAACTCCTTTAAGAAATTACAAAAAAGGAAATAAAGGGCTTTAGGGAGTCACATTTCTTTACATGTGTAAAGCAAATGATGTACAGCCTGTCTGTGGCAGTCCCAGCCAATCAGAAATCCTTTAGCTAATTCCAGCTTTCAGTTTCCAAGAATCCATAGAGCGGAAGAAACCAGTATAGAAAACAAGTTTCTTACCAGTTTTACCAGTTTTTGAACAAACAGTTTTGAGATTTATTTCTAACTGCTGCTTTTCTTTCATGATTCATGCCCTTTTAAAAAATGTAGACACATTCTGTAAAATGGGTTACTTGGTAATTTCCAGTGCTGGTCTGAAAAAGTTAACTGAAACACACAAAGACTGTACTCATACCATCACATTTTATTAAAAATCTATACACTTTTACTGGGCACTTCATTAAAAAAAGTCAGATTGAGCCCCGTTTTTGAAACTAATTCAATTCTTTTTGCTATAAATTCAGCAATGTTTCTGAAACATTCCTCGACAATCTGGGATCCATATCAGCATGACAGCTTCACACTGTTGATGCAACATTGTTGGCTGAATTTATGATGCAAATCTGCTGTTCTGCTACATCCCAGAGGTGTTCTGTTAGATTCAGATCTGGTGACTGTAGAAGCTGTTATAGTTCAGTTAAGTCGGAATCATTTTCAGAAGAATTCAAGTTTGTGACATGGTACATTATCATGTTGGAATGATCAATCAAAACATATATACTCATAGATAATAATACTTCCATGGCTTGTTGGATTTAGCTGATGGTAGTTGGTTCTATGGCATCCAAAGTGTGCCAAAAAATACCCCTTACACCAGTAACGTTTAGCAGGAAATAGCATATTTTAGGTAAATATTTTTTTTAATATTGACGGAAAAAGTACTAGTTATAAGTGAAATAATCAGCCAGTGGAACAAGACAATTTTACCATACTATTATATCTTGTATGATTATTTCAATGTTAAAAATCTGTTTGTTTTTGTCATTGATGCAGCTGTTTGTCAGTTTCATGAGAGTTTATCTATGTGTCACTGCAAAACAGGTATCTGGAAACACAAGACTCTGTGAGAACTTGTTTATGTGGTTCAACCCTTTTCAGATGAAAGGATATGTAAAATTCCAGTTGAACTTCACAGCATGTGCAGCCGTGAGCTCCTGGTTTCCCCCACGCCTTCAGACTTGTGTGAAACTCTAGAAATCAGTGTAGGCGGCTTAAAGGTTATCCCTACATATTACTTTTCCGTAGTTTTTATCAGTTACAGGAGCAAAAATCTTTAGCTCTTCCTTTAACAGTTTCATTTTTTTTTCTTTGTGGTTAATTCAGTTTTATAAAAACAGACCAGCAGGAATAAGAACAGTTCAGACAGAACAGCCAATGATCCAGGAGACTTGAAACATTTACTCACCCTCCATAATATATATCCTCCTAATATATATCAGAAACAATATGTGTTTTTCAGTTGGCAGGTCTGTGCTAGATTGACTCTTAATTTGGAAAAGAAACTCAGAATTACCAACAATAAAAGGTCAAGCACACTGTTCACAGCAGGTGACCATAAAGTTGATGTAAACTTCACAATGCAACAGCAACATCCTGACTGTGCCTAAATAGATCGTTGATCAAGTTGTAAAGGTGTTCCAACACCTTTATACCACAACTTTGTTCAAGTTTTAGAAAATTCGTCCAGGATATAAATGAAAGATACAAATGCATCACAAAAAGTTTCAATTAGTTAGTTGTGTGCAAAGGCTATTGATACCTTTGTATGGACTAAGACGCAGGATCCATTAGGAATGGGCAATTATTGTGTCGTACAGCAGAGAAAAGAAAAATACTATCATAGGCTCTGAAATATTATCAATGAATCAGAATCGTTTCTTTGTTCTAGTTATGAGAAACGTGAGCATATGCACTGGATTGTTAGGTTTGCTGTTTGAACCATTTTTTGTTCCAGCTAACTATCATGTACATACAAAGTGATTATAAATCAAAATATGGCAAAGTTATTCTGCACTGTGGCAGTACCTATGGAACTGTTAAATATTCTATTTTATCTCTACTTAATATTAAGTTAGAGACCAAGATGGGATTTTTAATCCCATCCCATCACATTGATCCCTTTGATCAATGTGACAATAAATCATCCGTATAGTCAATGAATAATATTGACTTTATCATAGTATTTGACTGTGACACATTCAATGGTGTATTTACCATTGTGTCATAGTAAAATATTCCTCTTGCAAATATATCAAATTGTGGCACAGCTTTGTTTTTAGTTGACGGTTTTACTTCCTGTCTGAGTGTCATCTTGTGCAGACTAAATACTTTTTATAAAGTATTTATAAAAGATTAAAGTTTGTTAAAGTTTTTCCCTTTTTAATTGTATAGGGTTTACAATAGTTATGTTCATTTTCCTGACCAAAATTGATAATTGATAATTATATAAAGAACGAAGAGCAAAATAAATGAATAAAATGGGGACCCAGCATAAGAGAAAGCAAATTCAAAACAATAAACTTCAGGTGGCGTTTTAGGTGATCATTAATTATTGATGGGAGTTTAAGCACTCCTGTCTCTCTCCAAACACCTCTCTATATAATAGCTATTTTCTTAAGTTGAAGGAAACAAATCTTATGCATAAGAGCAAGGGCATAGAACTGCATTGCACAGCGCTCATAATCTCTTTGCTTTAATTGATCATCAGCATTTTTTAATCCGTCGGTGTCCAACGTTGTCGCATCGCCCATCCCCAGATAGACATTTACTGTATCCTCAGCCATTAATAAGATCTGATCTTTAGTGCAATTTTTAGTCCTGATTTGTCATTAACTCTCAAGAACAAATTTGTCACATTCATCTTAATATTATTTTTACCATTTGAATTATTATTAGATATTTACCAATTCATAATATACGTTTTATTACTGATGAAACTGAAGCTCAACCTGTGCGCTTGTTTTGCATACTAAGCTCTTGCAATGACATTTGAATAAGCAAAATTCCTACAGCATGACTGTATAAACTGATGTGTCCCCACAAGGCATGTTTTAAAAGTCAGATAACAGTTCATCCGTAATGCGACCCGGAGGTTCGATGTGCTGGGACTTGTTGTACCTTACATCATTTTCTTTATCTTACCCAAAAATGTTCCAGTGTGACACATTCTATTTTTTTCTGTCTAAGACTTCCTTAGTCACAAGGGCCACACGCTATAGTGAAGAAACTTGGATTCAGTGGCGTACGTGCCGTTTTTGAGATCTATAAAATTTGTGAAAACATAAGTATTTTATGGCATTGACAATAAATGTGGTTTTTACTAAGTTTTAGAGTTCTGCCCTATTCTCAGTGTAATGTTCTTGCAATGTTAGCATCTTGGCACTGTGGAGGATAAATCCGAGTTTCCATTCCCATATTCACTAACTTAAATTTACGTAAAACAAAGAACAATTACCCTGCATTAGATACAAAAAACTGTTTATTTTTGTTGCTTAATTCAACCTAAAAGCTCCTCTTTGCCTCTCAGGTGATGCCACAGTGACGATCGCTCACAGATGTACACCAAGGGATCAGCTGAAAAAACTAACTATCCTGGCTGACATCATCATTGCAGCAGCAGGTAATTAAAGTCTAACAGACAGAGAAAGAGAGAGAGAGTGTTTACTTTTTATCTTCATAGTTCTTCTGTCTTCAAGTGTTTGTTAATGGCTACAAAATGGTAGTAAGTTGGAATTGGATGGTAACTGAGGAAATGGAAGTACTATTAGTCCAATTTTTACTAAATGCAATAATTCCTACCCATACTTTTGGATTTAACAACAAAAAATCAAAGGTAACGCAAATAGAATATATCCATGAATAGTTTAGTTTTTAGGTCAGTTTTTCTATAGACTCAGGTTTAGTTTTTCTGTAGACTAGAAAATAAATACAGATTTCACATATTTTATAGTATATATATATATATATATATATATATATAGTATCTCATCAAATCCTGTTTTCATCTAAATTCATTGCCTAAGACAATGCTCAACAAAAATACTCTTAATTTAATTTTAATATAACTCTTTTTGTCCAGTATCCTGGAGAGTTTTAAAAAGTTATTTTAAGTAAAAATATATAGTTGTAGTTGTAGTATCTAAAAATATAAGACAACCATTGTGTAAGGTCTAAAGAGCCACTTGTGGCTCCAAAGTCTCAGTTGACAATAAAGGTAGAGTTATAATAGAATGGGTCAGATTTTACAAAATCTGAGTGAAATTCATAAACATGAATAGCTGTAATTGATAAAAGCTGTAAAAAGTAATCTGAGTACTGAGTTCATTTACTTTTCAAAGAACAGATTGAGTCACTTTCACACGTTCAAGCCATCAGTTAGACTTGAATGTTTCTTTTAGTTTGTTGTTTGTGATTTTTATTTTCTGTTTTCATACTTTTATTTGTTAATTTATTTTATTTGTGGATTTTGGTCATTTTATTTTCAGTCTTCATTTCGCTGTGATGTTCTTTGTGATTTTGTCAGTGAAAAGTGTTAATATAAATACACTTTGCTTACAGAAATATATTAGATATACTATAAATGCAGTTTGGGAAGCAGTTTGTTAAATATTTGTGGCTCATAATTTTTTTTAAACTGGATATTATATGCAACCAAACATTTTTATTTACTTCATTCTCATAGGGTTGTAAATTGTTTACTGTGCCAGAATCCATTCTCCATTTATAATTCTTCTACCTAAACAGGTTTAGATTCAGCTGAACACTCCTTAATCCCTTAGACTCTTTGAATTTGCCTAAAAGGAATTATGCATGCTGGTGTTGTTCCAAGAAAAAGGAAAGATTATGAAAAAGGTTTACTAGTCCTTACTTGAATAGTTCTTGTTCAAGTCTGCATCGCAAATGTGGAAATTTCCAGATAATTGTTTTGTTTTCACCTCTATTCCTCTTTATGAAGAACAAGGTGGTCTTGTAGGGTTGGAATGTAAAAGTATTAATCATTTGTAAAACTGTAGAAATGCCGTTCGGGGTGCCAGGTTACACTCCCAGTGACGAAGTGTAACCAATGTCCCATAACCAACGACGTTAAAGGATTTGTTTCCCTTCTTGACGAAAAGATGAACCTTTCAGTTAAGTTTATGTTTGTGAGATATACATTATGTCTGTTTCATTATAAATATTTTTTTTTTCTTTTTCAATCTCACTCAATATGCATACTCTCAATACATTTTTAAGTTGCTATTACTTTGGTTGGGAAATTTAACTGGATTATTTCACACGCCAAATAGATTCTTTGAAAATGTAGTTTGATATTTACAAAGCTTTTCCAATTGAAGAAACAAAAATAGCTCTTAGTACCACTGTAGAGTGTTGATGGAGCTTAAACGAAGGGACTCACCCAGGGAACCAATCCCTGATGGTAAGGGACATAAAAAACCCCCTCCAAAGTTCATAGTTAGGACATTACAGCATTGAGGATCAACTATAGACCATAGAAACCATTAAAACCATATTTACATGTTAAGTGGTTATTGTCTCAAATTCCTTGGAAACTTTAAGGATGTGGGATAATGAGCTCATATTAGATCACATTAAAAAAATAAAATGGTGACGTCTGCTATAGAGCTGAAAAGAGATGCCTACATTGGGAGTAGCAGTATAATGATCCAACTACATGGCTGAATCGACTCAAAAATGCATCACTAGACACAAATTGTTATTCCTCAATGACCTTCTCAGTCCTCAAAAGTAAAGATAATAGAGAAAAATATTTGGGGAAACCTGAGGAGAAGGTTGAATAATGGGGAACAGAGACGGAGGTCTCTAGAGTTATCTGGGGATATAAATGTGGCACTAAGGATATAAAAATATGTATTTCTTTTTATTAAATAAATGTTCTGTTGTACATTATGTTTCAAAACATTAATTTGGAGATTGTACCATAAAAGATACATTTTTATATATAAAAATCGTTTGCACATTTTAGCAGAGTAGAGGTTGCTGTATAGATTTACTTAATGAGGAATTGGACTAATAAATCCTTTGACTGAGTTTCAAAATAAAGAAATGGTGAACACTAAATGTATATTACTTTAATATAATTTGATTAGAGGTTTTTGAAGATATTTGGTGAACTACTTCACTAATTTATATTCTTGTGCCTAATTCATACTCCCCTCCCTAAGTCTGAGTTTTTCCTCACAAATTCTCAGTAAGGATGTACCAATGTGAAAAACTGGGCTAATATTGATAATCAGTGTTAAATAAATAATAAAAAAGAAAAGAAAATAAACAAAAAAACTCCTTGACACTGACATGCTCCTCTGCGCTCCATCACCGTCACCTGCCCAAACAATTCCCACATGGACAACACCTTTCAACTCCTAAAACACAAACTTGAATAAAACATTATTGATTATTAATATTGACCCAGTTTTATTTATGAGACCAATACTGATATGTTAAAAAGTGATTAGTATCTGCCGTTACTGATCTAAATGCTGATGTATTGTGAATGCGAAGTTCTCATGACGGGAAGAAAGAATAAAATGTTTTTATTCCTTTTTATTGATAAATATGCCCTTTTGTTCCCCCTTTGGTCAGGTGTTCCAGGTCTGATCACAGCAGACATGGTGAAAAAGGGTGCAGCAGTTATTGACGTCGGCATAAATCGCAACCTGGACCAGCACACAGGGAAAGTCCGGCTCATCGGGGATGTGGATTTTGAGGGTAAAACAAGCAATAAATCTTGCCAGGATTGCCTCAGCAGAGGAAATATCTTAATACCTGCACATCACCTGCATTTCCTGATGAATAAAGAGCATTGCTTAACACCGTATCATGTTTCTGATATTTGTTTTAGGAGTGAAGGAGAAAGCAGGTTTCATAACACCTGTTCCCGGAGGTGTGGGTCCAATGACTGTTGCCATGCTCATGAAAAACACTGTGACTGCTGCCAGAAATGCACTGATGCATTAAAAAAAGTATACACCCTTCATTTTAGTTTGCATTGCAGAGAGGTAAAAGCATAGGAACATGCGATAACCTGCATACATTTCAGCACACACTCAAAAACGAACCCTTCTGCTGAACAATTACACACTTTTATTTCAACAGTTTTGACCTCAAGATTTCATACTTGCCTGGAAACCTACTTGATATGTACCATGTTTACTTCCATATTTATTTATTTTATTATTGCAATTCAGATTTTGCTTTTGTACATGTTAGATTAATATTTTTTCTACTGCAGTGTTTTGATTTATTGAATATGCTTAGAAATTAGCAAGAAAGAAGTCATAATAAAAGTGGGTTTCAGTCAGTGTCATGTCAATGGGTTTGTTTTTCCATTATCAGTATTAAATTTCTGTATAATTGGACTCATTGGATGTAAACTTTTTTTTTTAGTCAAAAACACACCCAGGTTTTATATTCTAGGTATTAACTAATATTGTGCTACTCATGGTGGCAGCAGAGTATCTCTATGATATTAGTTCTATTTTTGTTTTTATAGACTTTTGCTCATCATTTATTTTGGTTGAGGCTTTGCTTTTTGGGGGGAAACATTCCCTCTGGCTTTGGATGCTGAACAGTGGTAATTATTTTTGCTCTTTCTGTTTTACTTTTTGACATTTGTTAAGATGTGCCAACCTGGTAATATTCAGCCCCTTATCCTACACTATTTGCTTTGTCCAGAGTGTCTGGGCTCTTGAGAAACAGTTGCTTTCTGGAGGTGTGGACTGTGTTGGGATTTTAAATTTTACCCATTTGCTAACGTCTGCCTGTGACATATGTAGTGCACCAGTTCGACAGGAAGAAACTTACTGGAACTTGTCTGTGTTGTAGACAACCATCCTCCACTGCAAAGAGAGAAGAGCCAAGCTGAATGAAGCAGCTGTTAATGTTAGTTCAATATTGGGAAACGTGACCAACGGAGACTGAACAGCTTTGTTCACTTCCTGCTAAAACTACAGGCAGACCACGATTCTAAAACGGCACGGAAAGTATTGATAACAAATATGGAATTAGAGTACAACAAACAGATCTATGACAAAAATCTGAATTATACATCTATATAGAGCAATTTCTGGGCCAATCTATCTTTTTACAACTTGTAGACAGGAAAACACCATAACTAGTCTGTGCAACATTTGCTGCCTTGGTCCTTACACTGTGTACACATTTATTAGGCAACCGTATTTTTAAGGATTATTTTTATTCATCATCAACCGGAGTGCTCTGTTAATCTAAAATGTTATTAACCTCCAACATGAATGTTTAAGAAAACAAATGTGAGGTTTTGACTTTTTTAGGAGTATATCTGTATTTGCACAATTACTGGGTGACTGTACTTGTGCAGGACTATAATGCAAGTGCAACCAAATGAAGGCATTTTTCCATCTCAGTGTTTAATATGCATCAATTTAAGTCAGAATTATAAATGAACAACTAAAAAAACTTTCCAATAAACAACAAACGACAACACATTTGTGACCAAAATCTCCACCTTAATTTTCCTTATTTTCTTCCATTTCTGTCAGTTTCTTGATATGTTGGCAACTTTTTGTTCAACAGCAATCACAGCCTTGCAGTCACTGTTCAGAGAGGTGGACTGTTTTCATTCACCTTAAGCCTGGAGGTCCAGGCATATTTAATAGCTCATATCAACGTCCCACCTACACCTTCCTGCTGTCTGAAACAAAGTGGAGCTTTGTTCTCCTTACTGATCCACCCATGGTCCCATCAAGAGTTGCTCTCATCCATCAGTTCTTTTGAAAAATCTGTCCTCAGATTGGCTCAGTTTATGTGTCGTATTCAGCGTTGGTCAGGTTTCAGCCTGTCTTTTCTTGGCCATGTCTATGAAAACTGAACATCTTGTCCTTCTAGTTTCTCCAGACAGGTTGCAGTTGCAGAATATGACAGAACTGAAAGATGATGGGTTCCTGGTAGTTTCACACTTGATTCTTCTTAAATCTTTTTCAGTTAATTTGCCTCCATTTTTTTTTCTCAACCTGTTTCCTTTGACCCAGACTGACTACTTGCAACAAAAAGTTGGATGGTTCTGTGATCATACCCCAATATCTTAGCAATTTCTAAAGTGCTGCATCCATCTGGGAGACTTGGCAATTTTTGACTTTTTAGAGTCAGTTCAATCTATTTTTTGGCCCATTTTGCCCAAAGAAAAGAAACTGCCTGATAAATATACATCATCTTGATATATGGTATTGTCCTCGATGGGCCAACCTCTACCTCATTACACAAATACACATCACCTGCTATGCTTAAATCCATTCAGCACTGAAGTTTCTCCAGAAAATATGTGTAAAAAATTGATGAAATGGACCAGATAGTCACTTACTTAATACCTGTGCACAGTGTAAATAAGTCCCACCTTATTTCTTTTCAAATACAAATTAACTGGCACAGAATCGGCAACATGCAGATCATAACTATTGTTTGACTTTATTCTAGACAAGTTAAAACAGGACCAACAAGTATGTTAAAAATGCAATTTAAGTTGCTACCTGCATCATAAAAAAATATGATTTAAGGAAGTTCTGACGAAAATTCAGCTACCACAAAAAGGATGACCCACCCTGGAGATAATTGTATGGTTTCACAATACTGGAAGATAGAAACCAGTCTGGGAATTATTCATCTGTTGTTTCCTGACTTTCTCTCTGAGGATCGTGACCTATCTTTTATAATTTAGAGCTGGTTTAAGGATGGCTTAATCAAGAAATGTCTCCAAAATATCTCCAAACAAGGTGTAATAAATATTGTAACTCTATCTGTATTACAACAGATAATTACACTGCTTCTAGATGTAATTGTGTTTCCCTGTGGTTTAAGAGGTTTAGCTTGGAATAGTTGGCACACATTTTCTTGACTTGGAGAGGATACTGGCAAAAATAATAATAAAAAAACATTGCAATTGAAGTTATGCTTTTTAAAACTGTAAAACCTCAATGGAATGCAACAGGGAAGGTTTAGCTTATCTCCTCTCTTCAGTGAAAACTGGGTGCCAGAAAAATATTTTTTTCTCTCAACCACAAAAGCCCTGAAGAACTTAACCTACAAGAACTGTGATGTGTTTATTTCTCAGACTTGTGAATCAAGCTTTTGTTTACTTGAAACAGCCAAGCTAGATTTGTCTCGTCATCTCAAGAAAACACTAGTTTTTTTGTTTTTTTTTTCACAAAAAAAAATAGCTTCAGGTTGTTATGTAGCAACAAACGGTCTCGACGGCAAAATTGACAGAGTGAAATCAAGGGGAGAGTAAGGAAACGGGTCACACCCAGTTTCATTGTTTTCCCCTTAATATCACTCTCGGTATCACTTCCATGAAACGTCAGTGGAGACGTGATGCATTGTAGCTAACAGAAAGTGGGTACACTGTGGTCACAACGGGATGTATACGACCAGGACGGCTGGGCTGTTTAGTCATAATTGCTACTAAGGGGCCCAGTTTGGCCAAGCAAATACTCCCACACCATCACAAGCCTGAACTGTTGATTCATGCCGTCTGTCTTGCAGTTTATGCCAAATGCTAGCCATTCTTCCTAGATGACAGGAATGGACTCTAATGTTGTCTTTTGTTGATGTAGCCATCCGCTTCAAGGTGCTGTGTGACATAGTATTCCACATTGTTTTGTAGTGCAGAGTACTTGCGTCAAGTACTGTTACCTTTTTATCAGCTGGTCTGCCTGTTCTCATGTGACCTCTGCAATCAACAAGGCGAAAAGAAATTCTTTTTTTTGGATCACTTTTCATGAATCCAAGAGATGGTTGTGGGCAAAATCCCAGTAGGTCAGTGGTTTTTAAAGTAGTTGGCCCAACCAAAATGGCACCAACAACCAAGTCACGTACGTAGTCACTAATACACACTGATGAGCTGTTTACAAACTGTGAAATCATAAAATCTTACCAAGTACTTTTGGGCTAGTTTCTAGTTCCAATATCTTGGTACACTTAAAATAAAACAAAACTACAGGAGCTTGTTTAAGTTAGTAAGTTGTTGTGAAATAATGTGTCAGTGGAGCAATACATTCTAACTTATAAAATGAGAAAAATGTTCCACTGGCAGATGATTGCACTCATAGCTAGTACCTTTTCATCAATATTAATAGATTGACTAAAAACAAGTTCCTATTTCTTGCTGACAAGTTAGTTTTGTCTTATATGAAGTGTATTCAGGTATTTGCACTAAAACCTAGACCAAAAATACATAGTCTAGAAGCCTCGGTGTGTTAAATTATTGCCAGTAATGGAAGTGGACCCTACCACCACCGATTGACCAGTACAAGACCTGGTTGCCATGGAGACTGATCATTGGCTGTTGGATTCAGCTTCATCCCATTCAAATCAATTCAAAGTGTCTGGCAAGTATTTTGGGGCTATTTCTTTGTATTGAGTAGGCACAACTCATAAAAACAGCTTGTGAATTGTAGAATGAAACCATCAGGAGGAAGAAACCACTGCTAACGTCAGACAAACTTCATCTGCATTTTTCAGTTATGCATTTACCCTTCCTGTCGTACACAGATCTTGTCTGCACCTGTTGGACAGAGACACTGAGGCAGCCAAAGACAAGAATCTAGCCAGAAACTTGCTCTTGTAATCTCATCCCTCATGAAACGGAGGAGTTTACAACAAATGTGATTGTTAGTGGAGCTGCTTCTAACAAGGTCACGCATGTCCTTGCTAGATATTGATATTTAAGTTTATACTTCAGGTAAACACTCAGCCTCTTGCTGGCTTGCGTCTGTGCTTCCAGAGAACAAAAGGAGCTTTGAGGTGAACACGTGACCTTTGCACTACCACCAGCACCCCTGCCAGCAATTAACAGCACAGGTGCTGCCTCTGCATGCAGAGGTGAAATGTAATTAAAAGAAGGATGTGGATGTGTTTTTTTTTCCTCCGAAGGAAATGCCTCTTTCTTTGTTGAAACTTGGCAGGTCTTTGATTGGCTGTGAAACATCTTCAAAGGACTGGAGCACATTATATAGCCTGAACAGAACAGAAGTCTAAGCAGTCAGAAGACGATGAGCAGAAAAAACATCTCACTGACAGAAGACAACATGTCCACACAAAGACAGACATTCCTAAGGAAGGGTGAGTTTCTGACTGTTTTTTGTAACGTGTGCTTTTGAAATAATAACCACACTACAATTTTTAATTTTGTGCAAAGTGGTAGTAAGCAAACTGAAATTCAGCATTTTAGGGCATGGAAGTAGAACAGTTGCTGACAACTTTTAAAACGGTCTTTTTTTTTTTTTTTTTTTAAACCACAACTGCAGGTGTGCAAATTAAGCTGCTCATGCATTATTCTAATATTAATTAAAATATCTTATTTTCTTCCAGTTCCCACCTTCACAGTGACAGTGCTGCTTCTGCTGGCCACAACAGGAAAGTCTGAGGTGTTGAGTGACGCCACGCTGACCACTGTGTCGCCCTCTTTCTTAAATTCGTCTCTGACCGCCCAGACAGTCAACAGTACGTTTCTATAGTTTTCATGTGTTGGAAGAATTATTGTAAGACAAAAAGGCCCCAAAAATTTAGTTCTGATGCATTTCTTATTGAAGCTATTTTAATTTTCCATATAGGAAAATAATCTCATTATTTTCATGATGGCAGAATAACTGACGCAGAATGAAAGTATGAAGGAATTGCATTAAACCAGGCCTTTTGTTCAGTTTACCAGCTGAAAAAGTTTCCTTTTTTTTGTCTGTATTAGACTTTTTAATTAATTTAATTCTACACTCATATCGCAGCATCAGTTGGAAGGACTCTCTTTATTAATTTTGACATGCCTCTTTTTCTTCAGGCACCACAGACCAAAGTAAAGTCCAGCATTCAGTTAGGCCATGTGGAGCTGAAAATCAAAAATACTGTTTAAACGATGGCAAGTGCATCTACCCCCAAGACAGCCTCAAACCTTCCTGCATGTAAGCACACAACTGATGAGGCTGGCCTGTCCTAGTGCATTAACAACAATTTGACACAGGTTGGTTCACGTTTGCTTTAGGAATGCACTCACATTTTTTGTCTTCTCTACAGCTGCATGCCTTCGCACAGCGGGCCACGCTGCGAGATCTTCATCTTCACCGATTTGACTTACCGACCATTGACCATGGACAAGATCATTCCCATCTTCTTTGGGTGCGTCATGATCTCCATCATTCTGGGTCTTGTCGTCTGCTGCTTTATCAAAAGGAGGTAAGCGACTGTGGGCTCTGATGCCACACATTTAGTGCAGAACCAAAGAGCTTGCTCGTGTTGAGGCGTGTTGCGAAGCAGACATTAAAAAGATTTTTATAGCTACTTTACATGTCAGTCAAGATTTATAGTCACTAATGACTTCACATTCTTACTGCGGAGTATAAGTTCATTTTTTCTCAGAAAAGATGGCATTTAATTTTGTTTTATTTTTTGCAGATGCATAAAATCAGCACCTCTGATAAAAGCCGCTGCATCAGAGACTTCGGTGTGACATCAACTCCTCTTCACGGTGTTTCTGCACGACTTGAACTGGATCTTAGTTTATAACTTAAAGCCAAAAAGTGTTTTTTTAACTTAAGATGTAAATTTTTTTTAAAACACTTTGCAATGTGAATGCTGAATTTTGTTATGAACAGTTCCGTGATGGTTCTTTCCTTGAAAGAAATGAGGAAAAATATTTTATTTATTGTAATTTTATTTTGATTAAATTATTTGCCTTCTTTTTTATTTAAGGTTTTGTAATAAATTATAAATAAAACATCTGTTTTAAAAAATGTTATTTTGAAAGCGTGTACTTCTGTCAACATTTAAACAGTAGTTGATATCACAGTGTTAAAGATTCACTCTTGCTCTTTAGCATGTAATACACATTTGTTTATATAGTTTTTTTGAGAGTAACAATTAAACCAAAGGAAAACTGTGAATGAACAACATTAATGAACAAAACGGTTATTAAAACCAGATTAAATAATTTATCTTTCAGCTGAATAACATGAAAATGTCAAGTGAAAACAACAGACTTTAAGCTGTAGATCAGCCTTTAAAGCTATGATGCACTATTTAGGACTTATGAGCTCAATGGATGAACCAATGTTGTGTGTAGCAGTTTGCAGTTTAATGTATTTAAATCCCACCATTTTAAATGAATCATGCACACAGGTTTATGGTCACTTGCACACATTCCAATTGGTTATAAAACGATGCAATCAAGGTCAGTGTATCACTTACGTTTGGTAAACAATAAACTTTTCTGGAAACCCAGAGAAGTCAACACATGGGTGGAGATTCACCTTCTAGAAGGAAAACCCCAAACCAACAGCAGGAGCAACAATAGAGTGGATTAGATCCAAGGAAGCTAATGTGTTAGGGCTCAGTCAAAGCCCAGACCCAAATCCAGCAAAAACTTTGTGACATAATTTGAAAACTGATGTTATTTAACATATATTGTACAATTTGAACCCAAAAGTACAACCAGCTTAGGTTTCTATTAGCAAACAAAATGTGCAAACTGGCCAGGAGGAGCTTCTTTGATTCTTGGTCAGACTTTGTTGGGGAAATTTACAGCTGAGTGAGTGGAGTAATGGGTGGTATTACAAAACCAGGAAATGTTGGTTTCATGGAGTGCATAGGGCTTGGTTGGTTCTTAGGCAGAGAAATTCACAGATCAGACAGGAAGCAGACAAGGGCAATGGTCGGGAGGTGACAGAAAACAGGTTGGGTAATTGATCAAGGACTTGAAAAACAGCTTGAAGGCTGAGACCGTGGTTGGCAACAGACAATCTGGGACTGACTTAGTACAAAGCAGGTGCATATAAAGGCAACAGTTGTGTTGTTTTGATGTCTTCAATGTTTTTAATGTTTTTATCTATTCTTTTTATCTATTAATTTCTTTTTATTTCTCTTTCTCACTGTTTCCGAGAGGTTAGAGTCCTTGTCAAACGGCGTTCTGACTAAAGTCCAAAGGGTTGGAGTCCTTGTCAAACAGCGTTCTGACTAAAGTCCGAAAGGTTAGAGTCCTTGTCAAACAGAGTTTTGACTAAAGTCCAAAGGGTTGGAGTCCTTGTCAAACGGCGTTTTGACTAAAGTCCAAAGGGTTGGAGTCCCACTTGACGGCGTCTCATCTAAAGTTCTACAGCTTTTTATTTCTCTTTCTCACTGTTTACGTTTTAATGATGTTTTTTAAGTCTCTTTCTCACTGTTTATTACATGCTGTTTTAATTATGTAAAGCACTTTGAAATGCCTTGCTGCTGAAATGTACTATACAAATAAAATTTGATTGATTTGATTAATTGATTGATTGATTGATTGAACAGTACAGGTCAAAGCAAACCGGCAGCCAACTGGAGCAGAGGGGGCAGGAAAGCAGCATGAATCATTACAGGAGAAAAAGAAAATCATGACATGTTCACAGTCACACTCCCTCCAAACTGACTGAGCCTGAGCTAATTTCCAAATGATGGACAAAAATTTAAGTCTCTAAATGAGTAAATTCATAAAGGACTTCTAATGGCAAACAGTGGATTGACAAAGTAGTGACTTTGAGGAGTTAAACATAAATACACTCCACACTTCAAATCCTCATTTTAGAATTTCTTGTAGCAGGAACGATTGAAACCAATTTCTTAACTTTCAAAGCAAATTGAAATGAAAAGTGGTTTAAAGCTGTGTCAATCTGTTGTGAAAGTAAAGACTTAAAAATAGCAAAAACATTATATAGCCTATTTAAAATTAATATGAACAAAAGCTGGATTTGTACATATTCTTCCAAGCAAATAAACCTGCACGTTCTTTTTTGTTGTTGTAAAAACAAGAACCACTGAATCAGCGGAAGCTTCAGTGGAAAGCAATGAGTGAGAAAACCATCACAGTGCAGCGTCATGAAACTGCGGTAGGCTATCTCGGAACCACGTAGATGTAAACTGTCTGCGTGGCCCTTTGAGGTATAATTAATGTAAATCACAGGAGTCCCTCACCACACCCACCCACGCCTCATGGCCGAGCCCCCGCGGGGTTTCACTCATCCTCTGGCTTAAGGAGCCTCAGCCCGCACCTTCTTCTCTTCCTGACAGACACCTTAGCAAGTCGCCAGCGCCTCCTTGTAATAACCCAGACAAGCAGCGGCTCTGAAATGCGGACCAGAAGACCCTCAGCGTTCCTGTCCCTCATCGGTAAAGTCTGTTTTTATATAAATTAGAGGTTAGCGGTGTTTACTATGGGATATTGTTCTCGGTTTGGGACGGCAGGCAAGTTAAAACTTAGCAAAGGGAAACAAGTGGGACAGGCTTTTAATAAGCACTCCTTATACAGGTATAGTTTGACAGTCTGCTTCCACCTGTCTTTACGTATCATTAATTCAGCTAATTTAGTAGCTTTGTTGTTACTAAAGAGAAGAATGAAAACATCCAGACTTCAATGAAAAATCTATAGCTTGTTCTTATTTGCTTTAGCACCATTTTCTGAATGCTAGATCATCAAAATGGTATTACTTTTTCAACCTGTCCCTTTGAAAATCCTTCCTATTTGAAGAGACTAGTTCACTATAAGTAAACCTGATTTCTTGAGTTCACTTGAGTTTTTTTTAAATGCATTAAACTGAATCACTCCAAAAATAAACACAATCATATTCATTGGTTGATTGTGTTTGCATGGGCTTCAAAACTATTTCAGACATGAAATGCCTTTTAATTTAGCAAAATGGCCGACAATTTAGACTTAAAATGGCAGGAATTTAAGTTAAGTTAAGGGCTGATCCACACAGAAAAGATTTTTATAAAATGATAAAGTGTTTTTCCATTTGTTTCCTGCATCCACACAGATACAGCGTTTTAGGGAACCCTACGTGATTTTTTAATTTTTTTTTTTTTCTAAAGGGATCCCAGAGTGAACATTTCATTTTATTCCCATGGATACCAAACACGTCTTTTGTAAATCTGCTGAATTATCAGCCCAACCTGTAATCTAATCTGTAACATTTTAGGTGTATTACATGTTCTGCATGGAATTTAATTATTTTAGTTGCATTAGCACTTGTTCCCTCAAAGCATCAGTGGACATGCTAACTAGCCTGAGCACTCATGGCAGGCTCCATTGTGATGAACCAGAGAACAAGGGGGAGCCTGATTGACAGCGCTAAGACCCTCCTCCTGGCTCTGATTGGTTGTTTTTGACGGCGCAGTGTATTTGTGCAAATAACACCAAGACCATATGGGGAAGGCAGAGGAACTGGATTTTTTTCACAGATTGTCTATCTTACACTATACCACCATGACATAGTGCTAATTTTACATATAAAATAACTTATTTATTTATTTATTTATTTATTTATTTATTATTATTATTTTTTTTAGAAAAGTTACACACTGAAGTTTTAGAGCAGGGGTCCCCAAACTTTTTCCTGCGAGGGCCACATCACTGTTCCCTTTTCTGGTCGGGGGCCGGTCTTAGTTTTTTGAGAAAGACATCTTATAAAAGTTTTGTTGGCGGGGGGGGGGGGGGGGTGTGGGTTTCTCCCGGGCCACATTTTGCGTTTTTAA